TATAATTTTTAAAAATAATATTCTAAATAAATTGATAATTATAAAATAAATATAAATTTTATTATATATATATATATATATATACATTTCATGTTTTCGAAATTTTTCAGTTACAATAACAAATATTATTTCATTCGTTATAATTCCTACATGAATAATTGGAGAAATTGCTACAATTAATTTTATACCTATTTGACATGTACGTATAGCTCTTAAAAATAATATTCCAAATAAATTAATAATTATAAAATAAATATAAATACTTAGCTGCAACTGAGACAAAATATGGTGATTACGGAATCATCCGCAAATAAGTATACAAGGATACAAAAAATTATTTTTTCCACGTGCTTGACGAGGTGATCTTGAAAAATTGATATTTTTTGGTCACATCGAACTTCGTTTAATTAAAGGGTTAAACGCTTACGCTCGAAGGGTTGAAGACCGCGTTTCATTTTTGCTCGCACGTGATCGACACCGCGATTCGATCGATATTGTTTCGTCGAACGTGAAGAAGGCTGCCCTGTGTTCGCCTAACGGAAATACAGTGCCAACGTGTTTCTCTGTTTCTCACCGAGTGCATCCAACGAAATTCGAGTGAAACGCGCCAGCCAGTTGCTGCAGTTTGACGATAACGATAATACCATCGTGTAGCAGCAGGGCGGGGAATCCATTGTCTCGATCGATTGCGTCTCTTCTCGTTGCGTGTAACGTTCCAAGTCTCTGCAAGGCTTTGGAAACGCCTCTCGGCGCCTTGAATGTCGCGCTTTCTTCTTTTCTCTCCCTTATCTGTCCCTTTATCCTAAAATCTAGCTGATTCTCCTCTTTTTTTTCTTTTCTTTTTACAGCAGGGTGCAACGTGACACGCGGTGCTGGAAGCAAGCGGCAGCTTCTCCTCCCCTTTCGCGACCCGAATTCCCTTCTCCTCGCTTTCCCGACCGTCGTTACCCGGCTCGAGAAAGTCTTTTGCTTTCTCATTTTCGCGAAATGTAAGCTTCGAGAACGAGATGCGAAGTTGACGATAACCTTTTTCGGTATATGCGTCGACGAACTCCTTTTATGTGTATCAAGCCACGCAAAATCAGGTGGAAATACCTGCGTCGATCTTAACCTTGAATTTTCTTTTTTATTTTGCATTATATTTTACTCGTTACTTTCCCAAGGAACCACAGGTTCCCCGTGGCGATTCCCCTAACGATAGTTTTGTTGAAAAATGGCAAAAAACTTTCTTAATCATTTAATGTTCGAGCGTGCGTGCTAACAGCGACTTTATCCTCCCGGATTAGATTTCACCAACCCATTTGATTTATATCATAGTTGTAACATCAGCGTCAATCTAAATAATCAAATGATAAAACGTTATTCAAAAAGTATAAATATTGTATCCACGCGTGCAAAACTATAAAGTCGCTGTTAGAACTTACGCGTCTGTAGACCTGTGGTTCCTTGGAAAAGTTTCACCCCTCGTGACGAGTAGAATACAAAGAAGAAAAGTTTGAGATTCAAGGTCAACTTCGCCTCAGGTTCTTTGCCTGTACTTTTATCAAATCGAAAGTATAGTGAAATTCATGTACGACAGCCACATGGACACAAACTTCTCTCCCCACCATGTACAATGTGTTTAAGGGAATAAGAAAAATAGCTACTCGTCTTGCCAATTTTGAAAGTTTGACTTTTCCCTTGGCGGACATCGAACGACGAGCAACGACAGCAAGCTTCCCCTTTCTTTTCTTCTCGTTCGCAGGTCGCATGTTGGCTCGCATCGTCGGGGAATGGCGCGAGAAGAACGAGGAACGCGTCGCTTCTCCCCGCTAATCGAACGAACGACATCGAAGCTAGAGATCGCCGCCAGCGAGGGACACTCGCGAACCTGAGGGACTGCGCTCGGCTCGGCTCGACCACTTACTGCTTTGCTCGATCGCGCGATGGGCCCGTTCTCGTCACCGTTGTTGCTGTCGTCGCCGTCGTGGTGGTCGTCGTCATCGCCGATCTCGCCGCCGCCGTGATTGCAAGCGAACCGTGCAGCCCGACGAACTAAAACGAGAAAGGCGAGGAGAAGGAGATATCTGGAACCTTGGGAACCCTCGGCCAAGGCGGACGCCCGAATTTTTGAGCAGAGAAGCGCCGCACCGTGTTCAGGCTGCGCATCATGTTTGGAACGAAATTGCGCACGTGGATGGAAGCACACATCGTGCGATCGAAAAAGAAGAAGGACCGAAAGGGGAAAGGAGAAAAGGCATTCGACTCAAATTCCAATTCTCCTCGGAATCACAGGTCTGCCGCGTTGCACCAAGTGAGTATGTCGTACGCTGCGAGAGTGTTTTTTTTTTTTTTTTTTAGTACCAACCCCTCGAAAGGAGAAAACGCGATGATGGAGCGAGAAAACGAGAAAGAAGACTGACACAAGAGGCACGTCGACGACGACTCTGCGCTCTTTCTCTCTTTCTCTTTGCCTCCGTCGCGTGCTGATTCGCTTCTTCTTGTCCCCTGGTTGCTATCCAATTAGACTTGGATCGTGTCGCTCGCTTGTCATCTCCTCCTCCTCCTCCATCTCCGAAGAGCCCAGTTTCCGATTCTAGAATTCTGTACTCTGGATTCTCCTCGATTCGCAGGTTCATCCGGTAGACTCGCCATCGAGAAACGTGGACGGGACTCTTCGATTACACGGCGAGGGTGGCAATCGATGCGGTACAGCGACCGCGTCCTCGGCTACGTCCGCTGGAACGGGCAGCGTGAATCTTTCCTCTCCGGAGAGCGCCTACAGTACCGGGTACTCGACGGACGGCACGTCACCGGGTACCAGCTATCCACCGGAATATTACATCAACATCAGGACCGGCACGCATTACTTTCAAAGTACCAACGCCAACAACGCCAATGCCAACGCCGACGCTGGCATAGCTGCGCTTATCGGTAACTATACCAGCAGCA